ATTTAAATCCGAATGTTATGTGCACTTCAAAAAGCTAACTTTAGAGAGATGGATCATCCTAGCCTATCTAGGCATCAAAACTATCTTGGTAAGTCCATCCTATTAAAGCTTGATTTCGATTAGTTACTGCTCAACCAATAGCATTTAAAGGCAAATATAGCCCATATTCGAGTACTCCACCCCAGAAAACTTCGAAGTATCATCTCTCTGATTGGAAGATGGAGATTTAATTTTCGATTAATTGAAACATGGAAAAAAAACAACCAATTTTTGTTTAAGCATCTTTGCAATACGGAACAAAATCACCTTGTTCCTTTATGTTTTATGAACCATTTTGTATCTCTTGAAAGTCTCTATTAAATGGTATATAATAGCTCGAGTTTTGTTTAATTATGAGTGGAAAAGTTTTTTACGAAAACCGAGATAGGTCAATGTTAGCATAGAAAAGCACAGGGAATAATGATTTTTTTTGCGATAACTAAGCGATGGCTCGACGAATCATTCTTATCTCCAAGCTTAGCTGAGATATTGATGAGACGATACTGTGTACAAAATGTCATCACAATCGGACTCTCCTTTCAAAAGCTATGATGTAAACAGCCAATCGACTGGATAGATTGACCGATTCTAGAATATACACACTTTTTGAATACACAAAAGCATAATCTGCAGAGGCTCAATTGGATATGACATATTTTATGCCTGAAAGAATAAGGTACTTTTGCCGCTTGAATCAATTGAGACAAGAGTAGACAATGATATATTTTCAAGACGAAACATAGTGTAATGAAAATGAAGAAAAAAGAAGCTAGTGGGTGAAATTCAGTATCGGATAAGAGCACCTACGTAAGAGTGAAGTAAAAGATAAGAATTATAGATTGAAATATCTATGGCAACACATCGACGTCAGATCCCTAAATTGTCAACGTAATTTTATGCCATAAATAGTTAAACCAATATAAAAATAGAAATTTTATAGATGTGTCTTAAACAGAGAACGGCTCAAAGTCGTTGAATATTAATGATTGTTAAAAGGATATAAAATAAATCCACCTCAATCAACGTTAATTGTTGGTCATCAATATTTTTCTGAGCATCACAATAAAAAGCTAATATTGATAATCTTATGAACACTCAGAAGCATAACAAGTTATGAAATCTTATGATTTAATCAATGATTAGTTTGAATTTCTGCTGTTCATATACTAAAATGGATACAGACTAATTAGGCAGACAAAATTTATCGAAAATTCTTAAATTAGATGAAGAATATACTTTAAAAAGAAAATATGTTTCATGATTCTGTTTATTTATTAGTTGGTTATCTTTCCTGATACTATTCAATAAAAACAAAAATTTGATGTGAAAATTGTTAATTAGTACAGTAAAACGAAAGTTTAAAACCAGTTTCATATTATAAACAGTTTCTGATTTTTTTCTACTTCTCGCTAGTAAGATTTCTGTTATTTTCTGTTTTTCGGACTTCAAAAGGTGGCAACACTGATTGTGAATAAGATTCTGTGTCACATAAACTTTGATTATTTTTTCTCGCTTCTTGGGTCCTTCTTTCTTTATATCATCAACTATCCTTTGTTAATTACCTATGTTGAGTCATCGATAGAACATCTGTTCGTTTTTCTTTTATGACCACATGATATATGAACAGCTGTAATCTACGTTTCAATGCATTCTTGAGAATAAGGAATAATGAAAAATAACCACCAACATTACTTTTGGGAAGATGATGACCATTTAAGATCTATCAAAGACATAGATGTCGATCTTGCATAAACTTGTAGAAACCACTCTAGGCTATTTTTTAAACAGATAATAGGTCGGGTTTTGCTTATTGGCTATAACTAATCGGTATATACTAAGTTCTTTTCGTTCATAAAATAGTTCTTGTAGATGCACTAGAAAAGTTAAATACCATCGACTATTTACTTCTTCATTTTCATATATCCTCCTCTTATTAAAGATACCGTAAGATATATTCAATATCGTGCACATATATTCGACAATTTATCGGCAAAATAATAATTCTACAATATGAATAAAGATATTGAATTGCGAGTTCAATATCGAAGCTCTCGATTGATAATTCCGGATGTTGAAGATTCAAAAGAAGTTGGTCCTATCATTGACTATGCTGACGAGCCCCTTCTTCCACTTGTTGATGCATGCCGACCATTAGTCCCTATTATCTTTAATATATTAGCTTATGTTTCGAGTGCTCTGCAAAGCACTCCAGATACTCCATCAGATGGTTTGACTCGCGATGAATCAGCTTCAATTTTTCTGTACACGATGGAATGGGAAGATGAACATAGAAGTCTTTATTCCATTCTCAATGAAACACTTAGAACAGCTGATCGCGAACAATTACAACCATGGTATAAGTATCTAAAGCTTTTACTGACTGCCTTAGTGAAAATACCATGCGCACCTCAAATGACTGTTTGGCGTGGAATAAAAAAAGGTCTTCATCTCGAATTTCCGCGAGGAACTTCAATTGTCTGGTGGAGTTTCTCATCTTGCACAACAACACTTCCTGTGTTAGAGAATGATCTCTATTTGGGTTATGAAGGTTCGAGAACTCTTTTCTCTGTCGAGGTCTTCAATGCTAAGAGTGTGCGAGATCATTCATACTTTTGCTCTGAGGACGAAATGCTACTGCTGCCAGGAACATACATGGAAGTGCAATCACAATTCAATCCAGCGCCTGATCTCCACATCATTCATTTGAAACAGATGATACCAGACAAAGTGTTACTTGAGCCTCCATTCGAAGGTATGTTAAAGAATCAAAAGACGAGAAATCGTAGGGTGTTTGCTCTAAGAATTATGATATGGACGTATTAATATATTTAAAATTTCACAGCTTTTAGCTTGAGTTAAGAGCCATCATGAACTCTATGACATAGCGAATAACTAATTGTCAAACTCATGGATGATTTAAACCTCATCTATATCTTCGTGTCGAAGATTTTCTAATGTGCTCTTATGAAATACCTAGATTTCATGCGAATTGTGCAAGTTCTTTTTCTTAAAAAAAACATTTTAAATGATAATCATTTTGAGAAGGAATATTCTACACGTCTTTGATAAGGTATGCCATTGTCAATCTCGCATATGTCACATGACATGTTTTTGTCTGCATTAACAGATGAAATAAACAATCAGTATAACAGAAAAATACTGAAAAATAAAACATCTGCAGAAAATCCGAACAGTCGCTTACCCAGAAACTTGTAATTTTCACACTATTTTGACCAAATATACTTTTCCTTGATGGTATAAAAGAGTTCCTACTGGCTATTCATGTGTAACAGAAATAAGCAAGATTACTGAGTAGTAGTTGTATCTATTGAAAACATTAAGAAAATAAGACTTTTCGACGAAGATAAGTGAAAAATGATATGTGCCATTCATATAATTAGAATTCTATAAGCTTATCGATTTTCTCAATATTTCAAATAATTACATTAACTACACTGACTGAAATTATGTTAATCTTTTGCCTTCTCGAAGACTTCATAAAATGGCTCTCCCTCTCAATGTTCGTACAAAGAAAAATCTTGATCAACTCGTGTAATCATAGTTAACTTTTGGTAGATGCGCCTATGAACTATCAGATATAGCACTCCAAAACGCATTCGAAAGTTTTTGACAAGTTCTATTATGTGGAGGCTTTTCGTAGACCATTTTATTGAAAATATCTACGTTCGGCACCAAATAACGATAAAGATTTCAACGAATCCTGGTCTATGAAGTCTCAAAGAGATTCGCTAACTTCGGCAAATTTAACTTAGTCTCGTTAATCATCGACAAAAAGAGAGCATTATTTTTGTTAAAATGATCGGAGTACTTGACAAAATCTGATTGGTCAAAATACTTCACATACCAATGCTGTCTGATAATCAACCACTGATGTAATTATATAAAAAGAGTCTAATTGTGCATTGAAGATTGTAGCAATAGATTTCAAATGTGTTACAAAATCGTTGATACATGAATAAAAACCTTAGACGTTTTGCAAATCGTCTTGCAGCTTAAGTTGATTCTATGAAAATACGGAGGAGCCATACAATATCTTAGCAGAATAACTTTCTGCACATTCTACAGATTACATATGGATACTTGATGAGTCTTAAAAGCAATAGTTTGATGTCATATGGCAATGTTAGCCAAGTCACAATGAAGTTGAAAATGTTACAATTTTGTTTTTCTCAGTTCAGTCAGCTTTCTTTTTCTTGTATCATTTCTAAATCTTCAGCTTCTAATGATAGGTGTGCTTGTGTTGTCAAGTAAGGAGATCAGACCTATTCAGGGAAGATTGGAGCGCTGACCACCAAGCTTACAAAGTTCAGAATATAGTCCGCTGCTGGCGTGTATGAAACCGGATATTCAAGTTTTAAGGTATTTACTGTTTGTTTTGGATGACTACCATTCACATTCTCAGGGAAACTTTTTCTTCTGTGTTCTTGATGAATCAAATAGAGCTCTTCATGTTGCATCGAAGAAAACATATTTTATATTTTAGAGAAAAACTTACAAAATATACTCATCTGAAAATTTTGTATCTGTTTTCTGTTATATTTGAATACCATTGCAACTTGAATTTTTTGTCTAAGATCTTTCAAAATCCTTTTTTTTTAATAGGAAACGTGTCTTAACGACTGTAACTTGATGAGTTCTATCGAATTATAAAGAAGGTAGATGAAAAATTCTCGTGAAATTTTGGATTGTAGCCACCCTAGATACACTTTATATACCTGAAAACTTGAATGTCTTGGTCAGCACACTCACAGCAGCCTGTATTCTAAACTTGTAAGAGTTGGTGGTTAGAGCTTACGTTTGACTCAAATATATATAATTCTCTTGACTTACAACATAAATAATTCCACTGTAAGACATGTTGAGTAATACAAATGATTTATTTTGAATGGAAATATTTTTCTATTTAGGTGCATGTCTTTATCCAAAGAAAACTGAGTAAGTCTCAATAAGTTTTTATTTAATTGTATTTTTGAGGAAACATTTTATTAGATTACCAAAACGTCGTTGGTATAACAAGAAACGATTCATCATTCCGTTCAGTTTATTGACAGCTATCATGATCGTTGCAATTGTTCTCGGTGCTACTCTTGGATCAAGGTCTACTGCTACTGCATCAGGTATATAATTTCATTTTCTTCTCAAACCACAGACAAATCAAAGACAACTGACCATTAAGCTTCAAAGTCCTGATCGTTCATCATTGTAACTGAATTGTTTCTATATAATCCATAGTCTTTCTTTTTTTTATATGATCTGATCTCATTTGCAATCACTTTTCAAGAACACATCAGTTACTTTTAATTCTATTAAAACGCCATTAAGCGTTATACTGCAAATCTTGAATGATGGCGAATTCTAATTCAAAGAATAATACACATCTGTTCATAGATGATGTATGAGCCATTCTTGCGCTGAGTTAGGCGTCATTTTGTACAAGCAGATAGATAAATTAAACATCCTAAGAACTGCGATTGAAATATCTATCAAAAAAAGGCATCTACTTCTTAGAGAAAGAAAAAATCGAGAACTCTGGAAAAATTATAATGAATAGATGTAAAAAATTCTCAAACAATCTGCCCTCACTACGGTCGCTTATTTCTTGACACTTTGCTTTGAAAATAATGCCTAGATTATTGTGTTTATAGATTTCATCCAAACATAACATGCTCTCTTATAAAAAGGAATTTAAATTTTTTACAATGAGAAAATGCATAGACATGCGTGACTAAGTGCCATGCATCAATTATAGGAACATAAAGTAACTCTCTTTTTAAAAGGACAGTAAGCAAGATGTATGATACAAATTGTTTACATAACTTTATGAGTCTCAACTAGTGGTATTGATATACAAAAATAACGCTAAATATCTGTGGGATAGTGACACTGCAGCCACGTACAATTATTCGCAGTATAATTTTCGTAAAGTACACATTTATTGTCTCCCAGAGAGGAGATTTTTATCAGAACTATATTAGACTTTCCCCGTTAAGTCAAGCAAACACTATTTGCACATGATCCAAACCCAAAGAATGTGTGACATGGTGGAGGAAGAAGGATACACAATCGCCTACGGTATTTCAAAAGTAAACTTTGAAGCAGTATTTTCAAACCTAAAATGAGTGGAATTTTCCTGAGAGAAAAAATGTACAATTTGTGTTCATCACCACACTTTAAGGGCATGCCAGATCATTCCATATAATCTTCTGGCTATGCCCATGTCATAATCTAATACTAAAATAACTCACATGAATATAGATTTGAACTAACTTGATGCAAGCCTATCTGATAATAATGCCTTAATGCATTACCATGCTTGATTGATACTTAAATGTTGAATTACTATCAAGTTTTGCGGCTTTAATGTGAAAAAAACTTACATAAAAGGAATCCGAATTTATATGCTGGTGGCAAACGTTGATAATAGATTCTGTGTAGGTAAGTAGTTCTAAAGGATAGATTTGACATCTCTTTGGAGTATGATGAAGTTTAGGTGACGTGCGGTCTCCTCGTTCTTCCATCACAGTTAGATTCTCTAACGTATCTGAATGCGAAATGGAAATAAGTATACATAGACGGTTCCTTAGTGGCTTGAAGAGAGACATTTTATCTGGAGTAGTCGATGTAGATCTTTTCGAGTTCTTGCATGTCTTTTTTCCATGAATCTAGCGTAGACGTCAATGTTTCTTCGGTACTTCGAATATACAAGTTGTCTTTATGATTGAATCTGTTTTCACTTATATTCATTAGGACTATAGAATTCCAAGTTATGAGCACTTTTGAGTTTCAGTTAAGGGCAAAACAAAGTATTGTATCACTTGATGATAGAGTTTTTATGCCCTCTTGCATATGACCTGGACAAAAATATCTTTTGTCCTTACAATAGTCAAGAAAAAGATTCCATGCATGTAATCGATAGTGAGAGTGTGCAGTTGGGACTTATGACCATTTACGAGACTAAGCTCTATAGCCCTAATAAACATAAAAGCAAATGGATGAAATTTGAAAGGTGGCTCGCATATTCGAAGTAAAGACGAACCACTCATGTGAGTGTAAACACGAACTGTACATTCGTAAATAAAACTAGGTTTACTGATTTCAATGATTATTTCTATGGGAAACATGCAGTTGAATAACTCTATTCCCTAAATATTCATTAAAATCATCTCATAATAGTGCATCAACAAAACTCAGCATGCACTCTAGACGACAACGCGATTCTGAATAGTCCTTAATGGGATATTACGAAATTAAACTTCTCCTTATTTCTAAAAATTTTTCAATGTCTTGTAAGACTACAATGAAATACACAATATTCAAATAACAGCTTGCACAGTTTGTGTTTCCCACAATCTATAAGCAACAATTTCGATTGAATAAATTTCTATTGTATAATCAGCAGACCTCTCTTGTTGCTACGAAAATTGAAACTTGTTCAGGCACGAATGAGAACGTCGAAAGTCATGTGGTAAGACTGCAACTTCACATATAAAAGGGTTATAAAGTCGTGAGCAGCAATGGCGGTAGAGAACCTATTTCTTTCCTACATTATGGAATCCAGTAACTGCTTGAAGATCATAAAAGAAAAAATCCGAAACTTTAGCTTCGCGCACGTAACTAAAGCTCTTATTAGCTACATACCTATGAATCTAATCCAAAGCTGTCAGAAGTTTCATTACTATTGTATTAAAGACTGTTCTATCACTTCGTATTAACTATTGTTAAGATTTACATTTAATTGAATTGGAGACATTGAAAAACGGAAATAGCTCTTTTAAGCCAAATAAATGCCTGCTTTGAAGACAACTTTCTCTTCTCAATCATTATAGATGGAAAGTGTTCAAGTTTCGTACGTAAAGATGGTTGGGACATACCAGACAATGATATATTATCTTTTCCTGTTCACGAGCCTGATTATGCCAGCTGTTGCAAACAATGTCAAGCAACTCTTGAATGTATTTCTTTTACGTTTCAGCCATCAAGTCAACTATGTTGGCCGAAAAGAAGTATGGGTGGTGGTAGAAACGCAACTGGCGATACTATTACTGGATATAATCGTATGTATTGCAGCTCTCTGCTACAAAGTACCGTGATTTCGGGAGAGAATCTCAACAAAAAAGACTAGCTCATCTGAGTTTAATTGGTGTTTGTAAAATAATTTGAGACAAAACTATGGCATGAACAACTTTCTTGTAATATGTTCCTTGACGCAAAGCTTGCATGTACTATATTGAAAACTCTTTCTTTGTTATGTTTAGAAATTCTCTGTGACTAAAACTGACAATATGAAACATTATTGCCTACCTATTTCTTAGTCTTACACATTTTTAGTCATAAGCAATTGCCTCTTAGGTATAATCGACGCAAGGAATTTGTCTTGCACTGACATGGCATGAAGAGTCTTTGGTGTGATGATTGTTCATTTTTCTTCTCCTTTTTTTGCAGAAAGGTTATCCAAGAAAACAAATGAGGTGGAAAGAAACGAGAGAACAGATAAAGAGAAGAACAGACCCATAAAATAGCAGCAATTGTAAGACGATAACACTTCAAGTTTTCAGAATGCAACCATAGAATTAGACACAATGTTTTTTAGTTTTTGTTTTCTTGTCACTCACTACACTTGTTCGTTTTCATGCTTTAAAAGCAACTTAGTGATGACACAATAGGAGGGAATAAAAATATCTATCAGATAAAATATGATGCATGCAGTCACTTCAAATGTTTCATCTGCATAAACAGTGCTATTAGTATTATTCTTTTATTTATCTACTAACAGCGAATATGTGTCATGAGTTCCTACGTAAAGAAGCCTGGGACATACCTGGTAATGACATATTAACTTCTCCTGTACTACAACCTGACTATGCTAGCTGTTGCTCCCAATGTCAAGCAACTCTTGAATGTACTGCTTTTACATATTCTCCATCGAGTCAACAATGTTCACTGAAAAAAAGTAAGGATAGTGGTAGAAACTCAACTGATGATACAATTACTGGTTACCTTGGTAAGTAAATTAACTTAAATTCAGTATCTGACATACGGGTGTATTTGGAGGAGAGGTATTCGTCTTAGGTTCTACCTGTGCTTTTGAGTATAGATTTGGATGTAGAAGATGGACTTTATTAGATGTTTCTATAACGGCGAATTTGGCTGCGGGTATAGCTGTGGTTCTGACATGACTTCAGAAATGGCTCACATGCACATTCACAAGTCTTTTTAGATAGTCTATATGCTTTTTGCTCACTGCTGTTAACAATGAAAAATTCGAANTTACTCAACAATACATTTACATCCGATTATTTTATAAACATCTGATTAATCGCGATTACTCATTCCGATTTTTCAGCGATTACGATTAATCGGTTTTCTTTTCAATATCACAATAAAATCTGATTTTATCGTTGATTTTTCAGCCTATTTCGATTAATCGCGATTTTACGTTCATTTTTCGAGAAATCGCCAAAATCGCGACGATTTTCACGACATGGGTTACATTCGATTTCATATGTATCTCGACTTTCTATATTATATGCCTCTGGTCCTTGCACATTTTATCTATATGTATCCTTCCAATGCCTATATGAATCTGTTTTGTGAAACTAAAATAGTCAAATGGATCCAGCGAAAAATATTGGGTTGTAGTTGCTTGTGTAAAATTTCAAACGTCATTGCAAGAGCCGAAGAAGAAATCATTGACGAACATATCGAAGAAACGAATTTTTGAAACTTTGTACTGGAGGGTAGTTGTGGCTGTGAATTGCGTTTTGTTACTCTTAGTCTGACTTACATCCACATCATAACTCATCAGATATTAGGGATTATAGAGTATTCATGTGTATAGCCTTATCTGCCAATAGAAACACTTTGAACATACAGTGCTTATATTGTCGATTTTCAGCTTGGTCACATACATTTTTGCGAGTGCACTCTAAAAAAAATCTGTTTTCTCGGAATCCTACAGAAGGTTTTCGTATTTTTCGCTACATGAAATCCTTTACAGGTTTTCGGAGAAGGGTGTCCGAGTTCTCGGGAATTTATGAGAAACCCTAAAAAGTCATTAAACGAGTTAATGGCCCTCAAAGGGTGTGAATGTTATTTTTGCTAACACTCACACCGACAACTGCGACATGCCCGCAGGATCACAGATACAATAATAATATATAGAAATTGCAAGGATCAAATATCGAGATGTGTTTGATAAAATTCGGATAGTATCGCAGTTCAACATCGCAATGACTATGGATTAACCTGTGATCAAAAATGAAACTGTTGTGTTTAAACATAGTTAGTGGAAACAAGTCAGCGAATTAGTCACTTAAATAAATTTTCAGGCAAATTATCAATAAGGCAACTTTGCAGTACTACCATGACAAATGGTAGATAAAACGTGAAAATGTCACTTTCACCATTAAATTATCTTTCAAGGTAACGCAGTTTGCGAAACATAGCGAATCTCACGAATGGAGCTCAATTACTTGCCTATAGATTATCTCTTTAATATCACCGATTTAATGAGGTTATGATATCGCCTGTCCAATACTAACTATTATTTTCATCTGATCTTTAGCAAAGTGAGCGAGCTTATGAGCAAGTTGAATGTGGTAGCAACTTTTCTGTCATTTTATTTTCGTCGTCTTTTCAGAATATAAGAGTTGACTACAGCTATTTTTCAAAATCTAATAATGGCAGACATTACGAAGTACTTTTGTTTTCTCTCTGACAATCAGTTTCACTCACAAGATGAAAGAATCTATGTGACATATTGATACTTGGCTACAGGAAGGATCTCAGTAAAACCTAATAGAAAGCAGATAAATCATGATTTTAACGGTGATAGTTGAATAGTAGGTTTTGGTAATAATCGTGGTTCGTGCCTCATATAGGACAAAAATGAAAATTAACGAAAAATGTAGTCAAGTGTAGATTCATAACCTAAAACAAAAGAGTCAATATATAGTTTGCGAAAAGTTTTCACAGTCAATTATGCATATGCCATGTCAAATTGTTCATTTGTTCACTGTTGGTCATCAGGAAGAAAATGGATACCGAAAGATAACGAGTCGCTTCTTTCATATGTATTTTGAAAATTCTTTGTTCTAGAGTCTCGCCATGATATTTGCCGGTGTAACTCTTCACCGTCGTTTGAGATAATATCGATGTTCGATGTCAACTGATTGTGGTATGACAATCTTGAAAATTAACGAAATGATTTTAAAAAGAAAAATTCTTTTGTTACTGAAGTATCAGTAAAAATGTAACTTTCTCATTTTTTCTGTCTTGTTTTTGCCTAAACCATTTCGAAAATAGATTCTTTCATTCCTTTGCTTTATGTCTATAGTAAAAAGCATGATGAATTACTAGCGCCTATAAATTGATTTTCTATAACGATTAATTATAGAGAAAAAGTCAACAGAACGAATCGAAATTCAACTTATTTCTATAATCCATCACGTACAAATTTATTATCGAGTTCTTTTTCACTAGATTTTATAAGAATAGACTCTGCTTCTTTTTATCGTTTTGCCAAATGAAATGCGTTATAGCCTCAAAAGTCGAATTCAACATGGATTATCATTCTATCTAACAAGAACAGCATGTAAAACTCACTGTTGTGATAATGTATACAATATTATTTCTATTGATACAAGAATACTTGGATTCATATGGACGATATTAGGTAAAGTAGCGGAGAAAAGAAACTTTCTTGGTTATCCACTTATCGACCGGTAGCTTTCGAACCATGAAATTAATTGTTTCATTAATATCAAATTTCCGATTAAATGAACTATCGAGTGCTGCTACAGGCACCGGTGAACATACAAACTCAGTGAAATTGAGCAGCGTATTGAGTAATGATTGATTATAGAGTACTGATAATGATGCTTGCAGAGCTGCTTCTATCGCATAGCATTCAATTCAAACTCTGAAAATAGAAAGTTGAAGGACACAATTCGAGTCATAGATTTCTTCCTTAGGGATGCACCAATTCCAATTCTTGGCTTGAAATTGGTCGGAACTGGTGCATCCTTACTTCTGACCATTCGAACGCTACAATAAAAACCAAAATAAGTATAAAAAGTTTAGCTTTTGAGCATAATTATATTTATCTGTATTTGATCATTTAAACGCTTAAAAAAGACTACTTGCCGGTGATTACATGAGTTTTTGTGAAATCTTATCTGCTTGGAAATACGTCTCAACTTTGATCTCATGTCGAAATCGATCTACTCTAACGATATTCTTTATATCATCACAGAAGAGCAGATTGCTGGAATTATAATGCTTCTAGAACAATAAAAAGGAAATCAAAATAATTGAATTAGTAATTAATAAGTAAGTTTACATACTTTGTGGATGTCACTTGTGTCCATAGTTGTCATTAGATCAATAGAATCAAATCTGAAAGCTGAATTCAATTATTGAGTGATTGAAACTTCACAGCTTGATTTTTGGTATGCAACCGTTCAAAGAAACGCGTGCATAGAGCATCTCTCTCTATGTGAGTGTTACGAAAACAACTATATAACAAGTAGAATGTTTGAGTTGTAGTCCAATAATTGAATTCAACTTTCAAAAAGTTTTACTATTTTGTCGCTGGATTTGATCTTGTCGATAGGACTGTAACAGTTCCCATTGTCAAAAACTGCTAAAGCGTTCATGAGAACTAATCTGATATGAAAATGTTACAGCCCCACTCTGCGGAGAAGTTTGAAATCTAATTATATTCGTCAATCCAATCAAGTCAGTCGTTTAACAGAATATGTTGGATTCAAGCACAATCAGATATTAGATGGGCTTTTTTTATTAGATCTACAAGCAGGATTATGCTACCTGTATATTAGTGAATAGATCAGATAATGAGTGCACAAAGTCCACGTTCTTATATATACAGTGCCGACCAAAATTTGAGCGTCCACCCCTATAAGATGACATCGTTTTTGTTGTAGTTTCAAAACAAAACAAGCTATTGTTTGCCAGCTTTCAATAGTACGTGAATCATCATTTGTTCTCTATACATATGTGCAAATTTTCAAGTCACAATAGCGTGTGATCTCAGATTTTATTTAAAAAAAATAGTAAAATGGCAGGATTTTTGTACTAGAGAAAATAGAACGTCCACATATAGATAAGCTAAGTCTTTTCACAAGAAAAATAATAGTTTGAATAAAATGAATAAAAATTTCAGTGGACTTAACTTTTTAAATAAATATTAACAAAGCGAACGATATTAATTTTATCTCAAAAATATTTATTGTTAATCGATCATAAAATAAGTTTCTTTCAAATACAATAGTGAATAAGAATTACAATCAATTGAACCGACATTAATATGAGAGAATAAATATCAGTTTCGTCTTTTAATGGTTGTTAAATGGAAAACTCTACTTAAAAATATTTTGCAAATGCTCATCATCTATATAAATAAGCAATCTATTTTAAGTCGGTATAAACTAATGCATTATTCGAATATATGTACATTTATCTGGCGTAGTAGATATCGATTAGTAAATTCACAAAATTATTAATCCAGAGTCTTCAATAGATTGTTGTTTTGTATATTTTTCACCGCTTGATTTATTTTAACAGGAAAAAGTCATGTAGATATCAATCATTATGTTAGCACAATTTTTATCATATAGTTATCCATAATCCATATAAGAACCTGATACGACATTGTTTATCTGATGAAACTTTCTTGCGTAAAATATTTAACTTATCTCTCTAATTTATTTTTCATAATATATTATGTACATGAATCATCAATTTATTATTAGAGAAAACTTCAATAAATTGATTCAGATGCTGCCAACCGCGAGAATAAGGTACACTTACTTTTGCAAATATTATGTATACATACAGTCTGCATTCGAGGTGTCAAACGTAGGGTGTATCGATAAAATAATCGAATTCACCTTAACTATGAAAATATCATCATTTATACATAGAAGAAAAAGAAACGATAGAAAGTATAATTTTTTATGCATTCATCTCGTCTTACATTTCTCTTTCAT